CATCCAGTACCATACTGTATAGGATTGTAATTAGGAGTAACAGGCTATACTATATACCCAGGTAGGTAGCAGACTCACCTTCTAGGTTTGTGTAATTTCACCATGCTGACACATGGTGAAATTGATGAATAATGACATTCTTAAAACAGAAGCAATGCTTGACTATCCTGACCTCTCCCTGGCGCACCTCTTTAGACTGCATTCCTTGAAGACAGGACATGCCTATATCTGCACTGGTCATCATTGAAACTTGCGTGCTCTTGTCCACAGTGTTGATGATTAGATGCTCAGATCATTCCCAAACATATGTGCACTATCTGGATCATAGTGGAAAATAATAAGACTAGGTAATATTTATTTAATATTTGCTATGTGCCCAGCATTGTTCTAAGAGTTTTGAATCTATTACCTTAATCTACTCAATAACCCTGTGAGGCAGGCACTGTTACTGTCTTCCTTTACAAATAAGCAAGCTGAGAAGAAATATGGAAAGTGACTTGCTCAAGAAATCATAGAATTAAATAGTGGACTGAGGGTTCGAACTCAGGAAGCTCCCAAGTCTACCTTGTATCTAACACTTTCTCCTGCCTGAGTAATGTCTACTTAAAGACTTAGAAGAGATAACTACTATAAATTTAGAACTCATTTATTATAAATGTCCTATACAGATTTATCATATCAACTCTATACATTCCCCTTGAAGAATCTTAGTTTTTAAAGATGTTCTTGTGGTATCAAAAGGGCTTTGTGTGTATATGTATGTATGTGTGTGGCCTGTGCATATATGTGTGTGTATGTATATATATACACACAGACTTTTTATATGAGAATATGTTTTTTGCTGTATTTTCCCCATTACTTATAAAGACAATGAAATGATAGGGAGCCATGGAAATGATTAGGAGAGCAGCAAAGATAAGAGGAATGATGGTGAATAATATTGATAGGTTTCATGTGAATTTCTCCTGCAGAGTTTTCTGCCTCTTGCCTGAGAACGCAAGCTAAAGCAAATGACCAGTGGTTGTAAAAAATGAATCCATGTACATACAGGAAGGGAAAACAAGTTCTTTAGCTGCAGCTTCCATCAAAATGGAGAACAGCTTTCCACTGAGACCCCAGAGGCGTGGAGAGAAATCTGGGAAGATGCAAAGTCACACAGGCAAGAGAAATCTAAGTGGGAATGATCTGAGCATCTGGATAAGACACACAACTCTCAATGATGACCAGTGCAGAAATCTGAGTGGGCAGAAAAATATAAACAGATAGGTTTTCTTCTGCATTCCAGATTTTTTTTTTTCCTATGCAGAGGGAGATGCAATGGTATAGTGGCCCTGACAGTGTATGTTGCCAATTACTTCTCAGGAAGAAGAGTCTTCATCTGATGACTACAGTTGGAAAAAAAATCTGGGTATGATAGCCAAGCCCTTCTTTTCTCTCTTGTAAGTAAAAGTGCCATTCTTCTCTGCTCTTTCACGCCTTAAGTTTAAAAGAGGTTGACTTTGTCCATGGGCCAACAGGATGCTCTGTGCCCTGTCCACTCCTGACAATGACTGGGAGAACAAATCTGTATAATGCTGGGATTTGATATTGGGAAACTCACTTGCCCATTCCAGCATTACAGAAAGTTTAGTATAATAATGACTTGGAGTGAAGTCAGGTGTCCTTACAGACATAATCATGTTTGATATGGAATATTTCCCCAGGCCTCATATATGAAACATTATCTAGATGTTTTCTCCAAAAATCTAAAGGAAAAACATTCAAAATCACATCTGGCCCGGAGGATCATAGATAAGGGATTGAAGAATTATGGATCTATGTCAGTTTTTAATCGGTAGTAAAGGGGATATTTGGGACTTCCTTCCTTGTTAAGACTTTACCTATTTTGGTAAAGGATCAAGGCAAAGAATAGGAAGGTCCCTTAAACACGAATGAGGGAGAGAATCAAGCAGGTTCTTCTCCTCTCTTCTCCATATGCATGGTGCATGGGCTATCCACACAGGGGAGGACATTATATGTGTTTAAAAATAATTTTTACAAGGAGGTATAAGTACAATTCTGGCAGAAAGACAGTAGGTAGATTACTAAAACACGTCCAAGGATCGATAAAGATGCCACAGATGGGATTTCTATTGGGTGGAAGGTGGGACTAGATGAAGTCCAAGGCCACCCATTTAAGACAATCTAGAATGCTACTGCCTCCCCCAGAGGGGCCCTTCTCCAGAATCTTCCATGTGGTAGGGATTGGTCAGAGGCAGATATACTTTTGGCCATGTTCCCTTCTAGCTATTCGTACACCTGAAGCTGTGAGCCAGAAGATGTTAGATGGCACTCATCTGTCATGCCCAGTTTATTTTCTTTGTCTATGTGGGTGTAAGACATTTCACAGGAGTCCAGGCTGGCCAAACAGCAGCAAGAGAAGAGTTTTGAATGTCCTACAGGCTCCATTTTGTTTCACTCTGTTAGACACATTCTGGCTAGTAGCTTAAGTTGATACAGCCTCAGTTTTCTCATCTGTAGAATGGGCAGAACATCTCCAGGTCAACCACCCTCAGAGGGTTGTATGAGGATGGAGATGAAAATCAAAATATTGAAGAAGTTAATATATGGGAAAGTAATTTTTCCATTCAAAATCCAGGTATTATCTTCATTATGAATGAGGTAATCCCACACAAGCTTTGCAAAATAATACTTATTACAACTCTAAGCAAGATCCTTGCTCGAGCCTTGAAGCATTGCTGTGAGTTCAATACAAAGCAGTTTTTATTTAGAACATAAATTGGATTTGTGCTTATAAAGGAAAGCATGAGATAATGTTCTCTGTCTTAATTTGACAGTAGACAGACTCTTCAGCACTGGCCAAGAATCTAGTACTGGATCATACCAAAACACAACCATTGGCGTTTTAAATTGCATCCAAAAAGATGCCACGGTCAAGTGCTGCTTCTGACAGAGCACATACCAAGATATGAAGCTTCAGGTCATTAAAAATGCCCATCTCTGTCTTTTTATTCAGTATTCCATAGGCTTTTCAATTTGGACAGAATTTGAAGACCTGCTCCTACTGACACTTCCCAGGTAAGCTTCATCTTTTTTGTTTATTTTTATTTTCTAAAGATTAGTGTGGAAACTTCTCAGCTCAGTCAATGCCAAAGGGCACGACTGCCTCCTTTCTCCAGTTTACTTTCCTAGCATTAGGATGTGCTAAAGCTTTTTTTCCCAAGAAACTAAGGGATCTGCAGGATCACATGGACAGGCTTAAGAAAAATGAAATTAATCATGCATTTCATTCAATATTAAGATGACTCAGTTTACATTCATTATTATTTTTATCCTAGAAATCACAAATTTAAAGTGGGAAAACCCCAATTACTCATATTAACAGAATTTTCATTGTACCTTAAAAGCAGCTTCTTAAAAGGAAAATATTGATTCAGCTGACTTCACATCATCAGACAAACAATTTTCATAAGACATTTTTATAAGCTTAGGGGAATTAAAAATTTCAGAACTAAACATTCTGTAACATAATTATTTCAACTCTTCACAAATGTTTAGCTCAATTTAAAAAAGCAACACTGAAAACTTGCAGATTTCCTTAAACCTTTCATAGGCAGCGTACTTTCATTTTTTTAAAAAATCTAAATTTAGGTAAAAATCCTGGAATGACTTTTTGAAAGTGTAGTACGTCTGGTTCCCAAAAGCCTTCTTTATTGAGTTCTCCGGAAGTGAGCTGTAAACTGGTAAAGGATAGTTACGCTCTCCCCCCAAGAGTGCGGTTAATACGTTATCAGTGCTTGGTTCCTGTTGATTCTTTCCCCAATTCCCCTGTCATAACGCGAGCTTTCCCTAAAACTTGTGCTAAAGCTATTTTGGGGGAAACCCATAATTTTCTTGAACGTTACTTATATTGGTCCTTTCTGAATGCTTTTCACAAGCAACCAGAGCCTTGGGTTTTCAAATGAGAATTCTGTCCCACAGTTGTTTGTATGTAAGCTGTCCTATTGGTGTCACTTCATAAAAATTAGACCCAAAGCTTGTTAGGTTGCAGAGAAAGTTAATTCTGAAATCTCTCATGTCTATTTCAACCTCCTACAAACTCATCTTATGACCTAACATTTTTTTTTTCTAGAAAAGAACAATTTTTGCAGTGTTATCCGGCCCTGGACAAATACACCACCCCCGCCCTCCTGGGAATGAAATCTAACAATCGGAACTGAAAACTGGAAGGCAGTGACCAGCCGGCTTGGATCACCCAGCGCTCAGCGGCTGTAACTGTGAATGGAACGTATCAAGAAGTTTTCATTAGGCGCCTACCGGGTTCCTGGCCCCGAGCGGGAACACGATTGGGTAGGCCAGGTTCTAGTCCCTGAGACAAGCCTGGTGACCCAGTTGAGAAGATGAGCTCGTCCTGAGTGCTCCACTGCGAAGCCTGTCCTGGGACCCCCCAGTGTGTGTCACCTCGATCTCTGGGCCTTCGGTTCACAAGGGTCTGTTCGGCGCCCACCCCCAGGCAAAGGGTACCATAGAACCTGCAAGAGGCGAGTCTCAAGGAACTCTGCTCACCTCGCCTCGCAAGCGGCAAAGGAGGGAGCCCCTATTCAGAAACCCGCAGCGGAGCCGAGAGCGAAAGTAGCTACCTCTTGCGTTTGCGATAAGCTCAGGGGAAGAAACCGCTAAAAGAAAGGGAAAGGGGGTGGCGGCGGCGGCGGCAGAATGGAGCTTTCAGAAGCTCCTGTATTGCTTTGATTGTTTCTTAGCTTGACTGGGGGTTGTAACCGGGAAGGGTTGGGGTACCTGGGCGAAGTCGCCAGGCACAGCGGACGAGCAAGGGGAGAAAGAGTGATTCAAATTAAATTCCCACGCGCTCAGGGCTGCCACAGCTTTAGCTGGAGGAAGGGAGCGCAGGGCGCACCAGGAAGAGCAGCGGGCACGCTCTCCGGCTCCCGCAGCGCCGACAGACAGAAGGACCGCCCGGCACACCCGGGAGAGGGACTTACCTTCGGGGTTGGCGCTGATGAAGACCCGGACGCTGCGGCCGGCGGGCACGAGGTGAGAAGGCAGGGCCGTGAGGTTCCCGGAGAAAGCCGCCCGCCGGAGCGCAGAGTCCCGGGGACAGGGCAGCTTGGTGCCCGCGCCGGCCGGCCACATCGCCCTTTGGATGGAACAGCCGCAGCCGCCGCCGCCAACGCCTCCTGCTCCTCGGGTTCTCTCCCGCGCTTCCGCGGAACCTCTAGGTCGATCTCTGCAGGCGGCGCGGCTCAGAGCCGCTCCGAGCCCGAAGTGTGGCCGGCGAGCTCCGTGGCGCACAGCACACGCCGGCAGGGAGCGGCCATACGGACCCCTGGCGCTGCCGCCTCCTGGCCCTCTGGGCGTCCGCCTTCGCTCGCTGCCCGGTCTTAGCGCAGCAGCCGGCTGGAGCAGGAGGTCAGCGTGGCGGCCGCTACGCGCGCGGCGCCCTTTTGCGCCGAGAAGCTCCAGCGGCCATCTCCCCGTCCGCGCCCACCGTGGGAGGAGGGGGCCGCCAGGCGGCGGGGACAGTGCGGGCGAAAAGAGCGGATGAAACTTTATCTACCAGAAGATGTCTGGACTTTTTTGGAGCCCGCCTCCCGCGCGCTCAGAAATAACACACGGCTTGAAGGGCGGCTGGGGCTTGGGCGCGGGGGCCTCGGGGAGGGGGGGCCTCGGGGCTGGCAAGGGGCCTCCTGGGCTCCTCCGAGGACAAACTGGAAATGCTCGTGGCTGCCTCCTTAGTGGAGGACAAGAAATCGGTTAACCCGAGATTCCTGCTACTCCCCCCTCCATCTCTCCTAAAGGTCACACAGCCCTGAGCATTTTCGGGAATCCGCGCGTGTGGGCGTCTCCGCGCCTCTGCCCTAGCGCAGGGAATCCAGCTTCAAAGTTCGACGAACGCACCCAAGACCAGACCCCCGAGGTCCGAAGCATCAAGTCTCCAGACTGTCTCTGTTGTCCTCCAGGGAGGGTCACCGCCTCCCTGGCTTCTATGGCGCAGGTGGCCGCGTCCTGCCGCTCCGCTTGCTCCCCACGCGCGTCCGAGCGAGGGTTTTTATAGCCAAGCCAAGCCGCTCACGTGCTCCTCGCCGTGTGGTGGCGGAACCTTTCCAGCAGTGGATCTCCGTGGGGAGCTCTGCCTAAGCCTCTAAGGCTCCCGGGGGGGGGGGCCTTCCTGCTCCCACCGGGGCGCATTCCTTGGCTGTACTACCCGCTGGGCGGCTCCGGATCAGGCGGCCGCGAGGATACGGGGACCCCGGGGCGGCCCAGTGCGTGGCTGGGCTGGGTGGGCGGGGTGTCGCCTCCCGGGAGGCCCCCACACCCCGCGACGTCCCACAAAGTGCAGGTGGCAGAGGACTGGGGTAAATCCTCATGAGAAATCAGAGTTGGCTGTGGTCCGCGGCTTTTTGCTTGGGCTTCGGCCGCTTTTCCAAATTAGTGCACTGTGTGGGTGGGCTTCACCTGACGCTGACCCAGGACAGTCAGAACCGACGCGGGACTGTGCTACTTGGGGTAGAGGCGTGGGGCGGAATGCGGGTGTGCGGGTGACGTGAGATCCTAGGGGAACCAGACGTAAAATTGCCCTGTCTTGCCACAGTCCGCTGCGTCGAAATACCGGAAATACTGCATAAACCAGGACAGGAAAAAAGACCCTGTTGAATAAAAAGTGTGATTGTGTTGGGTGAAGGGGGGAGAATTGGAGTTTCGTATTAGAATCCCTCATTCTGGGCTTTTGGGTAGGAACACCTACCTATGTTTTAGGGGAACAGAACGGTTTTTCCAAAAACTTTATAATTGGGGAGAGGGTGAGTGAGCTCAAGGTGAGGCCGCTTAGATGCAAGTTTTCCAGGTTTGCCTGGGGCCTGCTACTCTGAGCAGCTGTACCCTCCTTCTGGCCTGCTTGCACTTCCTCTGGGGCCTGCTGGTGGCAGTGAAGTCCCATGCTCTGCTATTTATTTTGTTGCCCCAGCCCCAACAGACGTGTTCTGGGGTAACCTCTTCGAAGGAATTGGGTCTTTGGGTTTGTAAGGCTGCCTCTCCCTTCCTGAGAACCAGGCAGACAGCAGTTCTTTGTAATAATTTGATGCAACCCACGAGGAAGCCCTGGACATACCTAGCTGGTTCTTTCAGTTGATTCCATTTAGCAAATCATCACGTTTCTCCTTTCAGACTGATTCTTAGGTGGGAATGTTCTCTGGCAGGGAGGGGGTCTCTGGAAGATCTTCTGATGTCCCAAAAAGTAGGGACTGTGAGCTCTGGAGCAGGCCATGGGTATATAGTGTCTAATACAGTATTATCTTTTCTGAAAAGACAGTATTTGTTACCAGAGAAAAGAGCCAAGATCACTTTATGCCTGATCTCAGTATCGCTTATAAAGATTAAGAAGCGCCAGATTGTCAAGGACCTGCCTCCCTGCCTATCTTCCTCCCTCCCCCACTTGTTTGTTTCTTTCTTAAAATGGGATTGGTGTTCCTGTCTTCTGACCTTTACTTGAGATCTCCAAGTGATGCGTTTTCTTTGGATGACTTTGGGATTTTGGCAGCCTCTATAACCTAATTAGCTGTTCTAGACAGGCCGAAGTTTAGCGTGTGCCAGTGTCACTGCAGACCAAGGCTGCAGAGGAGAGAGAATTTCACATTGTCTGTGGGGCTGTTTAAAAGGCTTTCTGCACAACCGCCTTACCTCAGGTAGGGCAGGCTGATGAATTAGCGTGTTCATATAAGGATACCTGATTGCTCACTGTCCCCAAAGGTGTGCGTGCACACACAATCTTTCTCCATATTCTTCTACCCTAGCTCTTGCTAGCATTTGATATCCTAAAGCCAAGAATTAATTCCTTAGCATGCATGCAAATGACATAAAGGAGAGGTCATATGAATTATTATTAATTAATTAGATTTATTTCCCACTCTGAGGAACGAGACACACACACACATATGTGCACTTGTGCTTGGGACAGGGAGTGGGTATAATTGTGGAAGGCAGACCCTAGTTTTGGAGAATACTTTTCTGTTTGTTTAAAACACTTTATAATGATTTTCTCCTCATCAGTAAGTATGGGAAGTGTTATCATTACATTTTGCACATTTAAAAAGCCAAGGTTCAAAAAAGTGAAATGACTTGTCCAAGGTCACATAACTAGTTAATGCTGAAGCCAGGGTTCAGTTTTTTTTTTTTTTTTTGGCTGAGGCTGGGTTTGAACCCACCACCTCCAGCATATGGGGTCAGCACCCTACTCCATTGAGCCACAGGTGCCACCCAGGGTTCAGGTTGTGCTCTTACAATATACCACCTCTATTTTTACTTTTTTCTAGGTTTGGCCCTAGGAGATATCTTTAGTGACCTGGACAAGACTGCTCAGGCCCGTGCTTAGAGGTTTGGAAGGCTAGTTGTCACTTCTGTTTTCTAAACAGCAATGGTCAGTGGTCATACAATCACACAGGACTAGACTCTCCCAATTTCTAGGATGTTGATCTGATGACAAGAACTTCCAAATTCCTTGTTTCTTTTAGGTTTTGCTCTTTCCGTATGAGACCACAGACAAATCCATCTGATCCCAGAAATGGGCTGGAGAATTTAAAGCATCTCGAAAAGGAAAGGCAAAAAATACATGGAAAACGGGCCTGGAACCAAAGTTGTGATGGAGAAGAGGAATTCTCCTCTACACACACCACCTGTGAGCAGCTGAGAGCACCACAGAGGGGTTCCCCATTATGAAACAATGGGCCCAGTCCTTTATAAAACAGGGCAGTACAAAGATAGAAATTACTGATAGGTTTATTCTACTCATCAAGCTAGAAGGAGGCTGGTGATCATGGACTCCCATCCCCCTTGATAAATAGGGGATGCCCTTCTCACAAACTGTAGTTTAATTAATCAGGAGGAAAGAAAATTATTCTCCCATGATGTTGCTATATCAGCATTTCCTGTATGCTAGACATTTTAATAGGTTTTTTTCATTAAATCCCTTTTAATCTGGGCCCAGCATCTTCTATCCTCAGTCTGAGGTACCATTTTGGACACTCCTGTTTTGTGATATATGAGCACTTTGCTGTGTTCCAAAGTCCACTGTGCACATAAGTGTCTCCCCTGCTCCTCTTCACTGTGATGGCTAGTGCTTTTTCACCCAGCTGTATGGCTGTGTCGGATCCCCAATTCATTCTGCTTGGATGCTGGGGATGGTGATTGAAAAGCACAGAGCCAGAGCCCTTGTGATTGACACTCACCCAGCAGAAGGAAGACCCAGGCCCACCCTGTATTTGATTGCACGGGCCCTCACATTTACGTGCATCAGATATTCTGGCCAAGAAACTTCTGCATCATGCTTCTATATTTGTCCTATTGTGGGTAGAAGCAAAATAAAGTCTGTAGTGTTTAGAAGAAAACCAAATTAACACACCCTACCAGTCTGACTATCTCAGGGAATCTATCCAATGAGGCTAGTGATGTGTCTCTTGTGTTTCCCAAACTTGAGAAGTATCAGACTTAACATTACATTCATGCTGTGTGATCACAGGGGCTCTCTGATTTGGGTGATAAACATTTGAATCTGCTTTGCAAATACCATGCGAAAAGGATAATAATTCAGAGTCACTTAAGCCAGCACTCCACTTTCCAAAGTTCCAGCTCAGAATGTAAGCTAAACTATGAGGAGCCCAATTACTTGTTTACAAAATGGAAATTTTCAGTCTGTGTGAGAATTTTTTCAGCATAACAATTTGCCAACAAAGATTGTTGATTCAGAGGTGTCTACAGCATGATAGAATTCATAGCAGCTCAGTTTTAAATAAAGTTACACCTTTCTGAAAGTGCTATCTGATGTCTTCATGACTCAGAACTTCTAACTTTAAATCCACCCCCTTCCAAATCTGTTTAATGTATTTTTTGAGCAGTTTCCCTCTTACAACTTTCTAAATACATTCCTATGAGAGCACTATGCATACCCCACAAAACAGAAGAAAGTTAAAGTAACTTTTTAGGTAAAAATTTATAGATTACTTTGTTTCTAAATTAAAGGTTTTATTTTTATTTTATGATTGCTAACTTCTCCCTCTTCACGACAATTTCTAATATAGTATCTTATAAAACCCTCTTCTCTCTTGTTCTGTCATCTCACATTTATTTGGAGAATTGCTTTT